GGCACTTGCGTTGTTTCCATAGCTTTGCAATTGTGAATTGTGCTGCTAAAAACATTCGAGTGCAGATGTCTTTTTATAAAGGGTCCTTTGTTCTTTTGGGTAGATGCCCAGTAATAGGGTTGTTGGATGAAATGATAGATCTACTTGTATCGCTTTAAGGTATCTCCATATTGCTTTCCACAGAGGTTGCACTAGTGTGCAGTCCCACCAACAGTGTAGGAGTGTTCCTATCTCTCTGCATCCATGCCAACATTTATTGTTTTGGGACTTTTTGATAAAGGCCATTCTCACTGGAGACAGGTGATAGCTCATTGTGCTTTTGATTTGCATTTCCCTGATGATTAGAGATGTTGAGCATTTTTTCATATGTTTGTTGGCCATTATTCTGTCGTCTTTTGAAAAGTTTCTGTTCATGTCCATTGCCCACTTTTTGATAGGGTTTTTTGATTTTTTTCTTGCTGATTTTTCTGAGTTCTAAATAGATTCTGGTTATCAGCCCTTTACTGGATGTGTAGTATGCGAAAATTTTTTCCCATTCTGTAGGTTGTCTGTTTGCTCTCATGACAGTTTCTTTGGCTGTGCAGAAGCTTTTTAGTTTAATCAGGTCCCATTTATTTATTTTTGTTGTTGCTGTGATTGCCTTTGGGGTCTTCTTCATGAATTCTTTGCCCAGGCCAATGTCTAGAAGAGTATTTCCAACGTTTTCCTCTAGAATTCTAATAGTTTCACACCTTAGGTTTAAGTCTGTTACCCAGTGTGAGTTGATTTTTGTGAGAGGTGAAAGGTAGGGATCCTGCTTCGGTCTTCTACATGTGGCTATCCAGTTTTCCCAGAACCATTTATTGAATAAGTATTCTTTTCCCCAGTGTATGTTTTTGTCTGCTTTTTCAAAGATTAGATGGCCACATGAGGATGGTTTTCTATCTGGGTTCTCTGTTTTGTTCCACTGGTCAATGTCCCTGTTCTTGTGCCAGTTGCAGGCTGTTTTAATTACTATAGCCTTGTAGTATAGTTTGAAGTCTGGTAAATTGATACCTTCCATTTTGTTTTTATTGCCTAGGATTGATTTTGCTATATGGGGTCTTCTCTGGTTCCATACTAAGCATAAAATTATTTTTTCCATTATCTGTGAAAAATGATGATGATATTTTAATAGAGATTGCACTGACTCTGTAGAACACTTTGGATCATATAGACATTTTAACAATGTTGATTCTGCCGACCCATAATCATAGTATGGTTTCCCACCTGTTTACATCCTCTGCTATTTCCTTACTCAGTGTTTCATAGTTCTCCCTGTAGAGGTCTTTTACCTCCTTAGTTAAATATATTCCTAGGTACTTTATTTTCTTTGTTGCTGTTGTGAAGGGAATTGAGTCTTTGACTTGGTTCTCAGTTTGACTGTTATTGCTGTATATGAATGCCTCTGATTTGTGTGTATTGATTTTGTATGAGACTTTACTAAATTCATTTATCAATTCAAGGAGTCTCCTGGTTGAATCCTTACAGTTTTCTAGGTATAATATCATCAGCAAAGAGTGAGAGTTTCTTCTCTTCTGTCCCCATTTGGACGCCCTTAATTCTGCTCTAATGTCTGACTGCTATAGCCATGACTTCCAGCACTATGTTAAATAGAAGTGGAGAGAGTGGGCAATCTTGCCTGGTTCCAGTTCTAAGTGGGAATGCTTTCAATTTTCCCCCATTCAGTATGATCAGCTGTGGGTCTGTCATATATGGCTTCCATCATTTTTAGCTAAGCCCCATCTATGCCTATTTTGTTAAGCATTCTTATCATAAAAGGGTGTTGAATTTTGTCAAATGCTTTTTCTGCATCTATTGATAGGATCATATGGTCTTTGATTTTGCTTCTGTTTATGTGGTGAATTACATTTATAGATTTGCATATGTCGAACCATCCCTGCATCTCTGAAATGAAGACCACTTGGTTGTGATGGATTATTTTTTTTGATAAGCACCTGGATTCAGTTAGCTAGGATTTTGTTGAGAATTTTTGCATTTATATTCATAAGGGATATTGGTCTGTAGTTTTCTTTTTTTGTTGCATCCTTTCCTGGTTTTGGTATCAGGGTGATGTTGGCTTCATAAAAATGTGTTGGGTAGGTTTCCATCCTTCTCAATGTTGGGGAATAATTTCTGCAGGGTAGGCACCAGTTCTTCTTTGTAGGTATGGTAAAATTTGGGTGTGAAACCATCTGGTCTGGGACTTTTCCTTTTAGGAAGGTTTTAATTGCTGTTTCAATTTCAGTACTTGGTATTGGTCTTTTCACGAATTCTATTTCTTCTTGGTTGAGCCTAGGGAGGCTGTGTGTTTCTAAGAATTTGTCCATTTCCTCCACATTTTCCAGTTTGTGTACATAAAGGTTTTTATAGTATTCATAGATTATATCTTATATCTCTGTGGCATCAGCTGTAATATCTCCTTTATTGTTCCTGATGGAGTTTATTAGAGATTTGTCTTTTCTCCTTTTCATTAGTGTAGCCAAAGGCATGTCAATAATGTTTATTTTTTCAAAGAACCAACTTTTTGTTTATTAATTCTGTATAATTTCCTGTTATTTCATTTAGTTCTGATTTGATCTTAATGATTTCACTTCTTTTACTGGGTTTGGGGTTGGTCTGTTCTTCATTTTCCAGCTCTTTGAGTTGATTCATTAGGTTGCCTATTTGTTATCTTTCTGACTTTTGGATATGGGCATTTATGGAAATAAACTTTCCTCTCAGGACTGCTTTAGCTGTGTCCTGATTTTGATAACTTGTGTCTCCTTTGTCATTTAGTTCAAAGAATCTTTTGATATCCTCATTTATGAAGTAATCATTCAGCAGAAGGTTGTTTAGTTTGCATGACTTTGTGTAGAACTGAGGTTTCTTTTAGGGTTGATTTCTACTTTTATTCCACTGTGATCTCAAAAGATACATGGTATAATTTCTATTTTTAAATTTTTTTTGAGACATGCTTTGTGCCCTAGGATATGGCCTATCTTAGAGAATGTCTCATGAGCTGATGAGAAGAACGTATATTCAGTGGTTTGGGGGTAGAACGTCCTGTAAATGTCAGTCAGGCCCATTTGTTCTAGAGTTCTGTTTAAGTCCATTATTTCTTTGTTAATTTTCTGTTTGGAATATCTGTCCTGTGCTGTCAGTGGGGTGTTAAAGTCTCCAGCTATTATGGTGTTGTTGTTTATCCATTTGTTTAGACAAGTAGAGTTTGCTTTATGAATCTGGGTGCACCTAAGTTGGGTGCATACATATTTAGAATTGTTGTGTCTTCTTGTTGAACTGTACCCTTCACCATTATATAGTGACCTTCTTTGTCTTTCATTACTTTTGTTGATTTAAAAACTAAGTTATCTGAAATCAAAACCACCACGCCAGCCTTCTTTTGGCTTCCGTTTGTTTGAAATATTGTTTTTCACCCCTTTACCTTTAGTCTGAATGCATCCTTGCAGGTGAGATGTGTTCCTAAAGATAGCAGATACTTGGCTTGTATTTTTTTATCCATTCTGCCAGCCTATGTCTCTTGAGTGGGGAGTTCAAACTATTCACATTTATTGAGAGAACTGATAGGTGGGGCAGATTTCTGTTCACTCTGTTGGGTAGAACTTTGTTGCTTTGTTTTTTCTCTTGAGCCATTGTGGCATCTGGCCTTTGATCTTTAGCTTTTGAGTGGTTTTACATTCATGAGTGTTTATTGTGCTGATTTGGTTATCACATTTTTTTAAAAAATGCGTTAACACTTTGTTTGTGCCTCTCCACTCCACAGTCATGAAGAACTTTGTTCACCATGAGCTTGTGTGGGCAGATGGACACTAATTACATACAATGTGACCATCAAGCCCTCAAGTCCATGTGGTATTGGTTGTAACCTCAGAATTTCAAAAGCTAGTCAAATTAATAGGAACAACATTTTTGGCTTACTGTGCCATGTGATTTTAGATTGATTGTGTACATTTCTTTAAAATCATGGGTACCTAGTAGTAAAGAAGCTTCATTTTGGCAGGTTACACTTTGTATCTTAAAGCACATTAAACCCTTATAGGAACCAAGTGTGATACTATTTAGGGAAAGAAGTAAGAACATTATACCTTTTCTTACATAATGGTTCAAGACCTTTCATGTTAGTCACAAACAGTTTTATAACAATGTAGCAATTACCAGATGAAAGTGTTAATTAGTCCGGGACATTACCATTATATGATATGGCTTGCTAGAAATCAGAGGAGAGCACAATGTGTGAACAAGATTCTTCCACTAGGTGACTCCAGGCTTTGAAATGTTCTTGAAAAATAAACACTTTGGAACATATGGATATACAAACAAATAAATATGCACACTATAATAAAAAGTACAATTGGATTTTTATGTAACAAAAATATCAAAGCATAGACATTTAAATGGGCGTGATACCATCAATGGAATCACCATTGATGTCTATGCTCTTGCATAGACATGGCCTGAAACAAGTGTGAGGTGGTAGTATGAGCCACAAACCAGGAGGCGCAGAATCTTGAGGCTCTATCCTGGACTTGCAAGACTAGTGGAAATTTACTTACCACGTTGAACGCCTGTTCTATTTATTTAGAAAATGGAAGTAGCAGTACTTGCCTTCCTACCAACCTGAGTTACTTGGTAAAGTGAGTGGATTAATGAATATAAAATTATTTTTTAAGCTACAAAGAACTATAATGATCTGAAACAATGAGAAAATTATATTTGGTTAGTATAAGTGTTAAGACATTTTTGCTACTTTGAGAAATATTTAAAAATGGAATTATAGTCTAATTCTGTGTGTTCCAAAAACAGGGAAAAGGTTTCACAAATATTTTATTATAGTATCTGGGATCAACTTAGGATAAAAATACAGCATCACATTTCTTGAGATAAAGTATACAAAGTGCTTTATAAATTCTAAGGGACTATATATAAAGCTTAGCAATATCTGCCACTTTCATAAAAAAGTACATTTTGAGATGGGTGCTTACCTTCTCTTAAATGGTCTACAACAAAAGTAAAGCCTGTAGTTCTTGGATGTAAAACATATTCATATTTCTGAAGTCCATTCTTTTCAGCAAATTCATTACTTCGAGCCTTGCTGTTTTCTAAACAAAATAATAGACCATTAGAAGCCATAAAATAAAAAAAGATAAGTGAGGTAAGGGAAGAAGCCCAGAATTTCTTTGATAAAGATGGAAGTTAATTGTTTTGTAATTACTGAATACAGTACACTGAGTCAAATGAGAAGACATACACATTTTTGATGGATCCTTACAAAGATCCCAAATCTACTTATTGGAATTTAAAAAATTTTATAACAAGGTATTAATAGACCTTTATAAGTTTCCTGAAATTCATATTCAAATTCTTAAAATTCTTTAAAAGATTTCAGATAGTCCATATTCAATGAAAGCTGAAATAATAATACTAAACAAAAATGTTCATAAAATAATGCTTCCATAATAAAATTGAAATACTAAAATATAAAATGCTAATAAAGTAAAAGTAAAAATTAATAAAACATAAGGATCTAGGCATCCAGAAGAAATAACTAACAATCAAATCTATCAGGTCAACATTTTTTAGAAACCCAATAATTTAGGGCTTCAATGCAAAGTATAAAATCTGCCTTGCTCAGGCACAGAGCATGCTAATATTACTAACCAAAACCACTCCACAACAGAATAGGCACAAGATTAGCACATCATGTACAAACATCTGAACATGGTTTGGCTGAATATAGAGTCAAATGTATGTTCTAATTGTTGGCAAAAACTTTTTTCCATTCCATGAGGTAACTTTGCATGTTCCAAGAAGAACCAAACCCATTATTCAGCAAATACATTTGGAAAAAGTAAAGTGTTCAGAAATTTGGTCTCTCCTGGGAGAGATCATGAAATACCTTCTGATGACAACAGATGTTAGAACCTGCAATCTTCAGCTGTATCCTGAATTTATAAACTACTATTCCAAGTCACAAGAAAAATACCTATAGAAACACAATTTTACTAGGAGTAAATTTAAGAACATTGAGTCCTCAAACCTTCTAAAACCACAGATGCATTCCATAACACTACATATTCAAAGAACACTCCTATAGAAAGTATTATTTCATTTTATAAGAGAGGAATTGAGTCAAAGAATAAATACTCACAGATCCCCCGGCAAGTCAAAAGTAAAGGCCCTAAACATAAAAAGTAATAAGCTCTTCTCACATTTATTTGAGCATATCATGGACATGGCACTACAAAACAATATTTATATTATATTCAGCTGACATGGGATTAGGAAGCCCAGAACACCACAAAGATGAGTAGTAACTACTCTTTAGTTTGCTCTTCTAGTTTGTCAGAGACACTAGGGATTCTGAATACAAAACTGAACTGCTGAGAATGTGAATACACATCTAAATAATTCTAAAACAAACAGTCACAATGTGGGAAAGTAAAAATAATCAGAGACACTGAGAGATGCAGATTTTACCCTCCACCCCCACTTCATCTAGCTATGCCCAAACTCTGTTATTATTACTAACTACACTAGCATCCCACTTTCCAACCACAACCTCCTGTCTTGTCAGCTCACTCCCTGTAACTATCCCACTCAGGCACTCCTTCCATCCCACAGGACTTCTGGCTACTCTGCTGTTCTCAAACAGCTGGGCATGTTCCTACCTCAGGATCTGTGCAGTTGCTGCTCTTCACTTTGCCCAGAATGTCTTTCATCCATATAGCTGCATAGTCTTCTGCTTTGTTCATTAGACCCTACTTAACAAAGAGGCTTTTCCTAACCACCTTAAATACAATATTAATAGCACCCTATGCTCCTTCTAATACTATCTCCTTATCTTGCCTTATTTTTCTGCAAGGCATTTGTGACAACCTGACATATTTTTACTAACTTATTAGTTTATAAGCTTCATGAAGTAGGAACTTTATTTCGTATATAAAGCTCCAGGCACTTAGTAATTAAAGAAGTTTGATGTATAAGGGTGTTAAATTATATGTGATATATTTGTACAACCTAGAAACAGCTTTTCTTTCCAAATCAGGGAAATGGAACTTGAAATTATGGTATACCAATTGTGATTGTTAATTTTATGTGTCAACTCGACTAGGCCATAGAACATAGGTATTTGGTCAAATCTTATTCTAGATTTTTTGTTTAGGCACTTTTTTTTTTTAGACGAGACTAATAGTTACATTAGTAGACTGAATAAAGCAGATTACCCTTCATAATGTGAATAGACCTCATCCAATCAGTTGAAAACCTTAATAGAAAGAAGTGCCCTCTTCGTCACCATAAGGAAGAAGGAATTCTGCCTCCAGACTGTCTTTCGACTTGAAGTGCAACTCTTCTGTGGATTCTACTCTGCAGATTTCAAACTTGCCAAGCCTCCACAATCAGAAGACCCAATTCCTTAAAATAAATCTCAATCACTCTCTCTCTATACATATCCTGTCGGCTCTATTTCTCTGGAGAACCCTAAATAATATACCCATATAATAGGAAACTACCTAATCTTTAAGACACATTTTCAAAGAACAATGATGTGAAAGATTACAATCTAACATTAACTAAAAAAGGAAAAGTGTGATCTCAATTTTTATAAGAGTATGTATACATGTATATGTATGTGACTAAATGACCAAAAAGAAATGGACCAAAATTAGAACAATGTTCATTTGTGGGCAGTGGGATTTATAGCAATTTTTGTGCATACTTCTGTGTTTCTAAATTTCCCTAAATTAATATATATTACTTCCATAAAAAAGAAAAAAGTTATTGCCAACAATAATATATGAAGACAGAAAGTAAGTTATAAAACATTCTCTCTGGCTGAAAAATCCAGCTTTAAAGTTAACTGTTATAACTAAATACACCTTTTAATTAACAGATACTTTATCCAAATTGGAGCTATTTTCTTAAATCTTTCTTTCCAACTAAATACAAGTATTTGTATAATACTGTTTAAAAATTTTTTTAAACTTCAGGATCAGTCTGGTTTCTCTATTTGGCAAATAGTCTGGCTTTTGTAAGTTGGCCTTAAATGTAAATACCATTTGAACTTAAAAAAAATATGCTACTACATCATGTAATGGCGAGTACTCTGGACTCCAAAAATATGCAAGTAGATGTAAAATTCATCATCTATGAAAGAAACTGAGAAAAAATATAGAATGAAAAAAGTTTTACATATATATTTTGTAGACTCTATAAGTCTAATGTATGAACATATTAACACCTAGTATACCAGAGTAGCAGTAACACATGACCTCTTTTTCCATTAGCATTTATTTACTAATAACTTTCTAAGTTGCCATTCTTTAGTTTATATTTTGGTATTCACAAATATAAATATATCATTTCAGTAAATGGCTTCCTATACTCTATATTTATTAAGTGAAGCTGATACTTCAATATCTAAACTTAAGTATTATACATTCTAAGTATTATAAAATTTAAATATGGCTACCATTATAATAGTTCAGTTCTGAGAATCAATCAACTTACAATGATATATATTCAAGGTTAAATAAAAGGCAGCCAATATTATCTTCAGTATTATCTTCTTTGATACAACTACTTTTAGAATTTTAATCATAAACATACACTATACAGTAAGCATATAATTTAGAGATTTGCCTAGTATATCCAAATTGCCTTGTTTCATTTAGCTCATTTCTATGTGCAATAGATGAGTTAAAAATCTTTTTGTTGGTATCTGTGGTAAAAGTTTAATACCTTAATTTCCCTTAGCCTATCATGGCTCAGTCACCCATTCATTTTTATTTAAATATTTGTATAATTTGTATTTTTCATCTTGAACTCTCTCTTTTCTCTTTGGGTAATGGTTTTCATAAATTACTGTCTACAGTGTGAATTAGGATGTTCATTTACCTGTTCTCTCTTAAATTCTAAGGGTTGTCTTTTTCAGTATCAAGAATTTGGAAGAGAAGTTCATGTTCCACCTCACCATACTACTTGTGATTTTTAGACTTCATTTCTATCGTGCTTTAGTCTCTCTTCCCTCATGGGGCAGACCTTATCTACTAAATCCTTCTCTCAAATTCTGCTGTATCTTTCTTGAAGTTATCAGAAAATTAAAGGTAAATTTTGCTCTTTTGAGTCCAAGGATTCTACAGAACTGTTTCCTCTCTAATTTATTCCCTCCATCCCTCCTAGTATCAATCAGAGCACTTCTATTTTTATCTATCTTATCTGACATCCTAGATAGGAGGCTTCATCTGCAAAAAAATGACCTGTGGTTTAAGAAAGTATGAAAGCCATCGATTTAGTAAAGATGACAAACTGTACAATACTTTTGTTTTTAGTCTTTGTAAGAATTCTTTGAAATCCATTGGCATTTTCAGCCTATACAGTTTAATATTTGGGCAGATAGAAAAGTTATAAACATGTCCTCCTGTGCCCTTTCTATAACTCAATTTTTCTTCAGGAAAGGACAAAGCCTTTCCTGCCTATAGTAGGTATATGGCTTAAATATCAGGAGAAAGGTAACATTAACTTAAATCAACAATAGTTGAAATTACTTACCATCAGTTATTTTTCTTATAAGGAAGACCTTGTAAAAGGGTCTAATGGATAAATAAATACCTTGGAAGAGGACAAGAGAATATATGGAACATGCTGGAAAAACTTTACCTAAACATAATTTTATTTTATTTATTTTTTTAGAGACAGGGTCTCACTCTGTTCCCCAGGCTGGAGTGCAGTGGCGTGATCATGGCTCACTGCAGCCTCAAACTCAAGCAATACTCCTGCCTTAGCCTTCTGAGTAGCTGGGACTACAGGTGCATGACCCCATGACTGGCTAATTTTTTTTCTTATTTTTTCAGAGATTGGGTCTTGCTATGTTGCCCCAGGCTGGTCTCAAAATCCTAGTCTCAAGTGATCCTCCAGCCTCAGCCTCCCAAATCACTGGGATTATAGGCATGAGCCACTATACCCAATCTAAAACATGATTTTAAAACTAGTCTTATAAAGGTGAAAGGCTAATATTTTAAAATATATTCTGAGGCTTACAAATATAAACCTCTAGGATAGCAAGTGTGACATAATAGTGACCTCTTGGGGTTGCCTATTGTAAATTCAATAGGCTGGAAACCAGGAGTTCTGTGTCCTGATGTGCTATTGTTATCTGAGTGACCTTAGGTGTGAGCCATTAATCTTATTCGTGTTTAGTTACTTCATGTGAGGAATAAGAAACTTAGATTAGATGATTTATAAGCTCCTTTGTGTTTTAAAATTTTGTGATCCAAACCCAGGCTACCTTACCTGTGAGATCAGTCCCTTCTGGGAATATGAGGAGTTGAAGTGGTTCACGGATATCACAAAAATAATCAATCATGTCTTCAAAATGTCTCTTGTCATCCTTCCATTTCCTATGAATGAAGATATAGGCAGCAGCCTGCATGGCCCAACCTAGAATCAATTTTAAAAGTATTTACATTCAATTTTACTGCCAATATCCACATATTATTGAATATTTCAGTATTTTTGGTTTTACTATCATTTATTACTATAAGTATCTCATGATAAATTCAGCACTAATCTTGAGTTAAATAACTAACACATATACCAGAGAATACTGTGAAAGGGGTTTGATAATCTCGAGGTTTGCAGAATCCTCAAAATATCTTTTCAAGTCAAAATTAGCTATTAAAATATCAACGAAAAACTTTCCCTAATTCTTACAACTAACTTGTCCAAGAGTTTAACAATCCTAACTAAACAGACATTTTAACCAAGCTACCTACAAGAACTAAAAGAATATGTGTTGTCAGGCTTATAGAGCAGTAAGCAAAGGATTGTCCTCAGTTCATGTACATCAGCATTCTGTTTAATATCTGCCTTTCTATACTACCCAATTTCTAAATGCAACCAATTTCAATGCTAGCCATGTTTGATTTTATTTAAAAGAAATAAACTAACCACATTATCCAGAGTGTACACTGTGACTACAGTCCTTTTCCCTAGGGAAAATTAAACTTGTTACTGAAGAGGTAGACATGTTTTATATTACTGGCCATCTCCTCCTGGCACAGACAACTAGAACTGCTGTGGTAGATACTTGACTCAAAGTAGCCAATCCATGGTGTGTTCAAAAGCCGAAGTCGCAAGAAAAGCTTGGGCCAAACATAGTAAATATCTAGGTTACCCAAATGTTCTTCCTCATAAATTTCACCTGGGACCATGCAGAAAACAAACAAGTTGGTAGTATAAAGTCAAACAGATGAACAAAGAACAGCAGTAGCTGAGGCAAGATAAAGATAGCATCCAGGAATGAAGGTCAAAAACTGAGCTGAGCTGAGCTGACTAAAGCTGATTTTGATTCGTAACAAAAGGCAGTTTTAATCTCCACAAATCCTGGCCAGTCTATGGATCCACATCTTGGATATCCACGAGACTTAAGGTCTTTTATTGCCATGCATATCTTTTAATATACCGTCATTATTTCAGCTGGCAGGGATGTGTGGTGCTTCCTTGTAAACAAAGAACACAACTAAAACAATAGCTATCATCATTTGGCCAATATGATAGTACCATGTGAATATATAAAATGATCATTAAATCATTTGTCAATGATTTAAAAAACACATACATATAACTAAGACTTTATTTGGTTTGAGACAATCTAAACTAGAATACTGTATTCTATAAATATAAATGAGCAAAAACACAAAAAAATTTCACTTTAGTTTATAGGTCTTGCTGATAACCATCCAAGTATGCCTCATTCAATATATTGTCAATCACATCCACCAGTGTTGGACTTGACCCCAGGCTTGCCACTCCCACACACCTACCCTTCATCTGAGGACACCTAGGCCCACAGTGCAGCGTGTGTGGGTGGTATAGCTCTGGAGTGAGACTGTCATATACCAGCTGTTCAACCTTCAGGCCCCAAATGGAAATGAGCATAATGTTGTAATAGTATTTATTAATACCTGATAGGGGCTGTTGTGAGAAATAAATAAGATTACCTAACAGAGAGCATTCAATAATAGGTATATATCATTATTATGATTAATAAGTTTTAATAATATGTACAACATATTAAGTACTCTTTTGCCTGGTTCCTTTTGTTCAACATTTTGTCTATGAGATTAATCCACGTTGTGTGTAGTATTTCCTTTGCATTGCTATGTCAATTATATGAATATACCAATTATATGAATATACCACAATTTATTCTTTTGATGAAGATATATTGGCTATTAAGAATAAAGCTAATACAGATATGCTTATACCTGTCTTTTGTTAAATATGAGCACTCAATTCTGTTGAGGAAATACCTAAGCAGAACACCTGCATCATAGGGTTTATGTATGTTCAGCTTTAGTAGATAGCACCAGTTCTTCAAAGTGATTTTACCAAATGACACTTCCACCAGAAACACATGTGAGTTCCAATTATTATATCTATATCCTCACCAACACTTGGTCTTATGAGTCCTTTTAAATCTTAGCCATTATGATTCATCTGTAGTAGTTTTGATTTGCATTTCCCATATAATTAATGATGCTGGGCACTGTTCATATTCCAATTCCAATTCAAAATTCTACATATCTTCTTTGTGAAGTACCTCTCTGCCCATTTTTAATTGAATTGTCTAACTTTTTCTTACTAAATTCTAGGAAACAAAGTCCTTCATCAGATATATACACAGACACACACATATATAATTTTTTCCATGATTTTTGTGTCTCATTTAAGAAATCTTTTCCTACCCCGAAGTCATGAAGATGTAATACCATGTATTTTTCTAGAAGTTTACTGTTTTAATTTTTTGTTGCTGTGAGGTTTTCTTTGTTTTGTTTTGGAGACAGGGTCTTGCTCTGTCTCCCGGGCTACAGTGCGGTGGTGTCATAATTCACTGCAGCCTCCAACTCCCGGGCTCAAGTGATCCTCCTGCCTCAGACTTCTGAGTAGGTGAGACTACAGACACATGCCACCATGCCTGGCTAATTTTTCTATTTTTTTTGTAGAAACAGGGTCTCACTATGTTGCTTAGGCTGGTCTCGAACTCCTGGCCTTAAGCAAGCCTCCTGCCTTTGGCCTCTGAAAGTGCTAGGATCACGGGTGCAAGCCACTGTGCCTGGACTTACTGTTTTAACTTTCCCATTTCAGTCTATAATCTATCTCAAATGAATTTTTGTGTATTATATGAGATAGAAATTTAAAAGTCTTTGTTTTATGTATAAATATTCAATTGACTGATACTATTTATTTATTTTTTTTTGAGACAGAGTCTCACTCTGTTGCCTGGGCTAATGTGCCATGGTGTCAGCCTAGCTCACAGCAACCTCAAATTCCTGGGCTCAAGCGATCCTTCTGCCTCAGCCTCCTGCGTAGCTGGGACTACAGGCATGTGCCAACATGCCCAGCTAATATTTTATATATATTTTTTAGTTGTCCAGTTAATTTCTTTCTATTTTTTTAGTAGAGACTGGGTCTCGCTCTTGCTCAGGCTGGTCTCAAACTGCTGAGCTCAAACCATCTGCCTGCCTCAGCCTCCCAGAGTGCTAGGATTACAGACATGAGCCACAATACCCAGCTGATACTATTTATTAAAAAGACCAAAATTGTTAATTTAAATAACAAAATGTTTTAAAAGTATTATACAATAAATACATATTACTATAAAAAGATGTCAAATAATACAAAAGTAAATAGAATGAAATATGAAAGTCCTCCTTTATCACTACCATTTCTCTCAGTCCTCCTAACAAAAAACAAATCATAATCTGTTTTTTGTTAATCATGTTTAATAATTTGATGTAAATTCTTCTAGTTTTAAAAAGTTTGTTACATATATGGTTGCTGCTTTTACAAAATACAATGGTTCCAGTTGACTGGTCATAAAACACACACACACACACACAGAGACACAGGATCATACCTTCTATATTGTTCTAGAATTTGTTTTTTTCATTAACCATGTCTATACATACAGATCAACATCATTTTTTCAATAACTGTATTGTATTCTCTAATAGTAATTCTGAAACCAGTTTTCTGCTTTTATTCTAAACTTATGGACTGAGTGTTTTGTGAAATACAATAAAGTGAGTTTGTTGTACTAGAAAAATAATCTCATACATGGATGTTGTGACAATGTCACAGTAATATAAAAGTTTCTAAATACTTATTCTACTTCTGAACTTATCTCATTGTGGATCAATACTAGTTTGCTTACTCATACTGTTATAAGAATCACACTTTATGTAGCACCATTTATAATGTAGCTATACCATGGCTGACTTATCTAGTACCCTGTTATCATTTAGGCTATACCCAATCTGAGAATTTCTTATCTTCACTAGAAAAGTTTACTCTGATTCCAATAAATGTGAAAACTATTTTCTTTTGCTGGGATCTTCTTTTTATGTTTTCTGTTTGTTACACTTCTTTATGATTTCTTGTCCCCAGCCCTAGTCTTCATTTTTCTCCCCTCTTCTGTCTTTAGTTAAAATTACTTTTCCTTGCCCCTTCCCTTTGTTTTCTAATGGAGAGGTCAGCAAACTGCGGCCCATGGATCAATTCCAGTCCACTGTCTTTGTATGGCCCACAAGTTAAGAAGAATAATATTTTGTGATAATGAGAAAATTATATGAAATTAAAATTTCAATGTTTATAAATAAAGTTTTATAGGAACTCAGCCATATCCATTTGTTTATTTGCATTGTCTATGCCAGGTTCTGATGACAGAGTGGAATAGATGCCAGAGAGACAGTATAGCACACAACCTAAAATATTAGTACCTAGCCCTTTATAGAAACAGTTACCACTCTTAAAATTTTTTCACCCTTCCATTTTGAGTGAAAATATAACCTATAATTCTAACATTACTGAGTTACATAATAAATAATCTTTTCTAAATGGAAAAGTATGCTCTCAATTCTACCACTATTTAAACAGTAGGGTTTTATTTTAAATTTAAGTTTAAATTTCTTAAAATTAAAATAATAGGGGGAAAAGGGCATTTATTGAAACCTTAAAATCTGTTCCCCCATAATATGCCGAAATAAAAAAAAATTAAAAAAAAAAAAAAAAAAAGAAGATACAGGTATGGGGAAAAGCATTTCTTCTGCTCTCTGAACGCTAGGGTTCCAAATAAGAACCAGAGAATGACCTGGGCTCAGTGAACCTAAACAGGGATCTGTCCCAGCAGCTCAGGTAAAAGACACAAAAAGTCACAGCAGCACAGGATTTACCAACTATAATCACTGAGCAAATCCCTTGGGATTTAAGAATTACTAAATCATGAAGAAGCTTTAAGAGAAGTTTCAGTAGAGAAGTGTGGGCAGAAGCCAACACCCACAGGGTCAAATAGAGAATGGAGCATATCTCACTGATTTCTTGTAAAGAATAAACATTTCATTTTATTTGCAAAAAAAAAAAAAATATATTAATAATAC